GACAATGTTTAATTAAACCTTGTGGGCTGCATCAGACTGCTCCATTTTGTTTGTATTTATCTTTGTCTTATATTAAGCATCGGTATCGGGATCGGAATCGGCCGATCACCATGACAAGAAATCGGCCATCGGTATCGGCTGCAAAAATCCTGATCGGAGCATCCCTAATTTTCAGGTTATTTATCTTATAATGTGTAGAAACATTGCCAAAAAAATAATAATAATAATTTAGTTTAGACTGGAGTGAGGTGAAACCAGAAAAAAAAGTGCAAAGCAAGTTGTTATCTAGCAGCAATTTGATTTATTTATTTACAAAAAAAAAAAGTATCTGGCAGCTAATTCTATTAAATTTTACAGTATATGGTAGAAAATTAGACTTAAATAAACTTTTAAAATAAACTTTTTAATGCTTCGTTTTTATTCTACTTTTTGATATTGATATGATTATACCAAAACAATTATCTGGTCCAGCAAAGAAGAAAGCTATGAAATCAAGTGGTAAAATCAAAGCTTAAAAAAAAAGAGGGCAAGAAAGGATAAGTGTCTGTCGGCCACCACCGAAGACCAATTTTGACCAAGGAAAAAACCCTGGACATTATGGGGAAATGCAAGTTTTCGAAGATATTTCATTATTTTACTTGTCTCTAAATGAAAGATAAAATATGATAGAGCAATAGAATGAACAGTGACAGAAACAGAAGCATGCTTTTTAGCAGGATTAATTAAGCATGAAAATATCTGAAGGAAATATATATTTGATGAACAAATTAAGCCAACTAATATGATTTATATTCTTTTGGTTTATCTACTAATACATTTAAAAATGACAAATGCAGTGAAAATTCAGGGATCGGTTACGGTATTGATATCGGCGAGTACCAAAAATGAAAGTATTGGTATCCGTCTCGTTCTGCAAAAATTGGTATCGTGCATCCCTAATTGAAAATATTTAACGGGTTCGCGTGAGGGAGGAGCAAACCAGTGCCATATTTGAAGCACATTTAGAGATGTGATGAAATAAATTGCTGTTTTGGGATTGTAATTTCACTGCTTAAGTCTGCGTGTGTGAGAATGTGTGTTTGTGGGTAAGTGTGTGTGATGTGACACACTTTATTATTAATCTTTATTAATGTTTATGGCTGTTAAGTGTTATTTGTTTTTAAGTGCCATGGTTATTATTCACCTTATTAGGGCTAAGGGTTAAAGGAGCTGTATGTAAGATTGTGGCCAAAACTAGTACTGCAATCACTGTCAAATTACTGTAGAGCGGTGTATCCCCTCCCCCTCCTCCCTGACTCGAGGTTGCCAGATAGGCTGCAGGATCCCGCAGGAACGTGACGAGCTGCAGCTGTGGTAACTAGAGCAGAGCTGGCAACCCGGATGCCGCAACACTACTGACTTCGTGATTGGTAGAAAGGTGGAGGGTGGAGCATCAGACCAAAACACAACATGACAACATCAACATCAGTTGAGGGCTGCAACTGCACTTTTTAAATGACAATTTCCTGGCCAGACTACTGTTGTCAGTGATATAAGTATTTGAAATGTACATGATTTCTTAATGTCTAGTGACATTTCAGGGCCATTTTATGATTAATTGAAATACATTTCTTACATACAGCTCCTTTAACGTAATGGTTAGGATAACTCAAGGGCTAGGGTTAAAGGGGTCATATAATGCCATTTTTGTACAAGTTAATATGAATCTTTAGGGTCTAAATGAAAACTTTGTAATATACTTTTATTAAAAATTCTCATTAGTATTTTAAGAAAACACTAATTTTACCAGCTCAAAAATAGCTGTTTTCAGCACGCCGTTTCAGTGCACATGCCTTTAAATGATAATGAGCTTTGGTCACCCCGCCTCTCTGCGTACACAGTTTTTAATAACACAATAACCATAACGCGTTGTTCATTATGAACGTGGGGTTATGAATTATATTGAGAACATTGTAACGTTACATAGAATACATGTCGTGTTGGTAGTAAAAAATATTGTGGAGGTAGTAAAAAAGGTATTAAAAGGTAGTAAATTCATCTCTATGATTCCTGCATATACCCTGGGTAAGTGGCCCATACTGCCGCAGAATTCGTGTAATACACCTCTCCAAAAATGTCTGCATTTTGTTGTATAACAGTAGAGCTGGTTGATTCACAAACCTGCCAGGTAACCTTTACAGTTGGTGTTTTCCTTAAACCAAAACCCAATATCCACAGTCAGATCCTCTGGATCAAATCCGGATATCTGCAATACATGAATTCAAATATTTATTACAACACTATCAGCAAACTGTTTTACTTGGCATTGGGCTTAATAGATTAGTAATATAAAGTGTACATGTTTGAACTTCCAAAAACCCTGCATGTTTGGCAGTGTTGTGGATAATATGACGGGGGCATCCATGTATGTAAATGCTGCCATTTTCCCTCAGCATTCTGGCGGCAATTTAATTTTTGGCCCCTGTATTTACAGGAGCATTGTCAATAGAGAGACCTACACAATTTCTCCAAGGGAGGGAGGTGTCATTGATTTTTTTTTTATAAATCACTTCAGCAGTTCGTGGTGCACAAATCAAGGAATCTGTGCACAACTTTGTTGCTGTCAAATATTCTTACTGTGAGGGGATTCATCTTCTCTAGACCTGTAACAATAAGGTTCATAACTAAACCTACATGTTGTTCAAATATTTTATGAGTGTGCCTGTAGAAATGGATAAAAAAAATACAAATTACTGGTAGTTGTTTAAACTCATACCAGTATCATTTGAGCCATCTGTGACAAGTGTGAAGGGATTCTCTCTCATTTTCATCACCATTCCTTCTTGAAATGAGGTGCCACTGCTTCATTTATGATTGACGTTTTTTTGGGTGCTTGCGCTCTTAAAAGCTCTGAGCCATGGGGAAGTCTCTAAAACATTCTTTGTACAAGGGGCTGAAATGGTCAGCAATGTTAGAGTATGTAAAATGTTTTTAATGGCAGGCTAGCAGATATCGTTGACTCGTGCTAGCCTGGCAACGGCGAACTATGCAACTGGAAGGACTGGATGAAATTTTTTTTGAAAACTGTCTCCACTGACAAATAACACCCAGGCTAACTTGGAAATGAGTTCCGATGTCCAAAATCCTGAACCACCCCTTTAACGACAGCCGACTGTAGCGTCCTGCCACAGCACTGGCGCAAATGAAGTGCATCTCGAAACAGCATCTCGAATGCGGACGGAGACGGGGTACTTTTGAGCCGTGGAGGGCAGAGATTCTGGCTCTGGGGCGCACTTCAGTGCTAAATACCTGAACTAAAAAAAAGACATGACACCACTGACAACCGAACCAAGGTGGTGAGTGGGGGTCGACACCACATCGCTGGCTATGTCTGTCCATTTGTCAGCTCTGTCAACTTTGCCCGCAGCTGATACGAATGTACAAGAGCGCTGTTTGACTTCTTGAAGCACGTTTTCAAATGATTTTAAACCCAATCTCACAATTTTGGTTGACATGCTAGTGTTGCATGGGCAAATAATCGACACATTACACATGTCCATTGTAAAAGAAAGAATAATATTGTTATGTTAAGGACTGGGTTAAAGTTAGGCTACTGTATAATTCACACGGGTGATTCTTACTCTCCTACACGTTATACATTATTTACTGTGCATATTCGTTCTCGCCACCTACTGGCAACTATTCAGAACACACCAAAAGTTACCAGTGCCTTTGTAAGTGACGACAACGATGTGTGAACGACCGTGTAGCTGCCTCGTTTGTTAGCATTGCTGGAGGACAAGAGTGCTATACAAATACGGTGCTGTACAAAAACGTAAATTATAGTTCACCTCAAAGTTTTTTATTTGTGTATTTATTTAATTTGTATTATTTCTTCCCCAAGCTCATAAAATAAATTTGGGTCGCACATAAATTGACAGGGTCGGTCGGAAACCGGAACCAAACTAATTTTTTTTAATGCCTAGTTGTGAGGATACTGCCTTTTCTAGTATCTTTGACAGAAAAGGTAGATTCGAGATCGGCCTGTAATTGACCAAATCTGTTGGATCAAGTTGCATTTTTTTAACAAGCGGTTTAATCATAGCCAGCTTAAAAGTTTTTGGTACGTATCCTAATGACAAAGATGAATTAATGACTATTAACAAATAACATTAATAACTAACCCTTTAATGACTCGCCCTCATGTCGTCCCAAGCCCGTAAGACCTCCGTTCATCTTCGGAACACAGTTTAAGATATTTTAGATTTAGTCCGAGAGCTTTCTGTCCCTCCATTGTAAATGTATGTACGGTATACTGTCCTTGTCCAGAAAGGAAATAAAGACATCATCAAAGTAGTCCATGTGACATCAGTGGGTTAGTTAGAATGTTTTGAAGCATCGAAAATACATTTTGGTCCAAATATAACAAAAACTATGACTTTATTCAGCATTGTATTGTCTTCCGGTTCTGTTGTCAAGCCGCGTTCAGTGACGCTGATGACGTAAGACGCTGCTGACGTGTGTCTGGTGCGCCCGAGCTTCGTTTACAGTCTGAGGGAGACGCATGCCGTAAACAAAACAATCTTCGCAACATGTCTAAGGATTTCCACACAGAGGAAGACTTGCATTTTTTTTTTGCCCAGCCATATTTATTTGAACCCGAATACACGGACACACCAGACACACGTCAGCAGCGTCTTACGTCATCAGCGTCACTGGACTCGTGAACGCGGATTGAATAACTTCCGAAAAAGGGTCAAAGGTCCAATTTGAGTTCAACATTTTTTTGTAGATAGGTTAATACAGGTATTCACTAAAATGTGAAAATTACAATATTATACCTATAACTCAATTGTCAGGACATTAAGATAACTTTAAAGTCATTTTTCTCAGTTTCACACTCTGGCGAGTTAAGGTCTTTTGCCTTAGTAGGGCATTATTTGTCTGAATGTTTTGATGTCTACTGCTTTGTGGCATTAACATGTGCTTAAAATTGTATTTATCTTTTTTTTCCATCTTAGACCTGATGCCACTGAAAGAGGAGAGTCAAGAACTGAGTGATGTAAAGGAAGAGAAACGTCATGATTTTATAACTGGAGACAATTTTTTGAGTTGCTCCCAGACTGAAAAGACATCCTCACAAAAAAGAGCTCAAAAGACTGGAACTAGAAGTCATTTCACCTGCCCTCAGTGTGGAAAGAGTTTCAATCATCATGGAAACCTTAAAGTCCACATGAGAATACACAATGGAGAGAAGCCTTTCACCTGCCAACAGTGTGGAAAAGGTTTTACTGAAAAAGGAAACCTTAAAAAACACTTGCAAATTCACACTGGAGAGAAGCCTTACACATGCCCCCAGTGTGAAAAGAGTTTCACTGGAAAAGGAAGTCTTAAAATCCACATGAGAGTTCACTCTGGAGAGAGTCCTTACACCTGCCAACAGTGTGGAAAGAGTTTTACACATAAAGCAACAATTAAAGTCCACATGAGAATTCACACTGGAGAGAAGCCTTACGTATGCTCTCAGTGTGGAAATAGTTTTACACATCAAGGATCCCTTAATGACCACATGAGAATTCACACTGGAGAGAAGCCTTTTGCATGTGATCAGTGTGGAAAGAGGTTCAGACGTAAAGTAAACCTTGATTGCCACATGAGGATTCACTCAAGAGAGGACTGTTTTATATGTCATCAGTGTGGAATGAGTTTCACAGACAGTGATCACCTTAAGAGGCATGTAATAACTCACACTGGAGAGAAGCCTTGTGTCATGTGTCATCATTGTGGAAAGACTTGCTCAAGCAAAGCAATCCTCAAGGTTCACATGAGAGTTCACACTGGAGAAAAGCCTTTCACCTGCCCTCAGTGTGGAATGAGTTTCACAGTTGAAGGAAACCTAAAGACTCACATGAGAGTTCACACTGGAGAGAAGCCTTTCACTTGCCCTCAGTGTGGAAAGAGTTTTACAGTTAAAGCAAACCTAAAGACTCACATGAGGCTTCACACTGGAGAGAAGCCTTTCACATGTCTTCAGTGTGAGAAGAGTTTCACTTATCACACAGAGCTGAAACGTCACTTGCAAAATCATACTTGAAAGAAATTGCAGTGTTGCTCAGTGTGACGAGATAAACTGAACAAACAAAAAAAATCATCTGCAGATTCAATCTAGAGTGAGTCCACTTGTTGTGGACCAAATATTGTGTAAATATTTTGTCTGAACACTTAGAGATAAGTCAGTCAGAGGTGAGACCCTATTTGTGTTTTTTTTTTGTGTGTGAATAGTTTGTTTACTTGGCTCTGCGACTTAAAATGCCAGAAAATATTTATCTGATATTTATTTTTATTGAATAGAGGCATAAACTTCCATCTTGCTGTCAAATGGCACAATGTAATGAAAAGTATAAATAAAATGGCATAAACTGGCATATTATTTAATTAATCTTTAGAGAATGAATGCACAGATGTTTTCAATCTGGATATGAATATGGCTACTATTGGGGCTCATCTGATGATATCTGGAAGCTCGTTCTAGCTGTGGTTTGTGTATTAGCTAAACATCTATCTTTCTACCTAAGTTTGTGAACACTTTGAAAACATCTAGTTATCTTCATTGATTACTCCAAATGTGACCTGATCTTGATTTAACTCACTATTATAGACAATGACAATCTGGCTACACTAATAACACAATCATTTGTACTTTTTACAAGTTTATCGAATACAGTAAGTAATCATTCACAGGTCAGGGTGGTAAGTGAACCCTTGAATTTATTAAAGGTCCTTTTTGTAGATCCTCGTTTAGCACCATTTTTGGACCATCCATTCAAGTCAAGTCTAGTCAAGTTCATTTATTTGTCTCCCATGAGAGAAATTTGGTTTAGAGACAGGGTACTGCTGCATAAGCAAACATAAAACATATAGACAGCATAAAACATAAAAACAACCAAACAAAGTAGAGGATACATAACTGGCAACCAGATAGGGACCAAAGTGCAAGAGGTTAGGGCTCACTACTTGAAGTAAATTGCAATACACATTAAAAACATTTTTCCTCCCTACATTTGCTCATTAATGAGCTTAACCGACACAGGGATAAAGGAATATTTGAACCAGTTGTAATTACATAAGGAGACCCTGTATCTTCTCCCTGAGGGCATCTGCGAGTATTCGCTGAACAAAACATGTGAACTGTCATTTAAAACAATTTTTTGCCTGAGTAAGGACAGCCTCATTGAACAGTTCCTGAGGGTTAAGGGGGAGGGGGAGGGGGAGGGGGGGGGGGGGGGGGGTGACCCATAATCCTGCCCGCTACTCTGACCAGGTTGAGAATCTGCGATTTAAGATTGACACTCAAATTACCAAACCAACTGGTGATACCATACCTTAAAATAGACTCTATTGCTGCCCAATAGAATATTAACATTATGTTTTTACTGACACCAAACAACCGCAGTCTGCGTAAAAAGTGGAGGCGCTGGTGGACTCTAACGCAGACAGTGGCTGCCTGTGTCTGCCAGCTCAAGTCACTGTCAATGTGAAAGTACTTGCATGAATTTTGCTGATTAATGTTATTGCCATGTATGGTCACAGGGCTTCGGTCACCAATTGATTTGGGATCAAAGAGCATTTCTACGGTCTTACAGGTGTTAATCTGTAATTTATGATTGTCGCACCAGTCCACAAACCTATCCACAGCATCTCTGTGAATGGATGAGTCAGAGTTCTTAGTGAGCAGACTAAGAACAGCTGTATCATCCGAAAACTTCACCACATATTGATTAGGCTCAGAACTAACACAGTCATTTGTATACAGAATAAACAGAAATGGTGAACTGACACATTCCTGAGGGGCACCCGTACTACATATTTCATATTTCACCTGCTGTGGCCTCTTAGTAAGGAATGAGTGGTACCACCTGATTAAAAATGGATTTACATTCAGAAGGGCTAATTTTCTCATGAGATTATGTGGCTGAATTGTATTAAAAGCAGAGCTAAAATCAACAAGGAGCAGTCTAGCATATGCACCTGGGGTTTCAAGGTGCTTCAGTGTAAGGTGCATTATAGTTGATATGGCATCACTTGTACTTCGTTTCTTTGTATATGCAAACTGATATTTGTCTAATACTGGCTCCACCTCCGAGCGAAGAACATTTACCATAAGTCGTTCCAGGCCCTTAAAGACATTTGAAGTTAATGCAACAGGTCTATCTATAATCGTTGTCCTCCTGAGGACATGCCTTTTTTGGGACTGGAATTATAATGGACTTTTTCCAAATCTCAGGTACAACATGTTTATCAATAGAAAGTTGGAACAACTGGTGCCATACCGGAGACAATTCCTCTGCAAATGTCTTTAAGAGAAAAGTGGACATATTATCTGGCCCCGTCGCTTTTTTCAAGTACATTGATTTAAAAACCTTGGTTACCGCATGTGGATCTATAAAAATCCTGTCCTTCACATTACAGTTTACATTATCTAAAACATCACAGCAGTCCCTATTTTTATCAGATTCAAAACGCATATAAAATTGGTTCAGTGCATTTGCTTTTAAACTCTCATCCTGAGCAACCAGGGGCTTCCTTTTAGCCTCCATGTTTGTCATTCCTCTAATTGAGTCCCACAGTTTCTTAGAGTTGAACATGGACAAATTCTGTTCTGCCCGCTCCTTGTGTTGCAGCCTAGCTGCTCTCATATATTTATTTAGCTCTTTGTGAGCTGTTTTGATTCCATCTTTAGCGCTAAGTTTAAAAGCAGACTTTTTCCACTTAATACACTCCTTGATCTCTTTTGTTATGTAAGGTTTATTGTTCGGATATATCTTAACAGTTTTCTGTGGAATGATGGAGTCAACACAAAAGGAGATGTAGGCAGTTGTGGATTCCGTAGCCCTGTCAATGTCCGCCTCCTTTAGAAAGACGTCCCAGTCTGTCGAGAGGAAACATCCTTTCAGTTCCTCAATTTTATCGTCCGACCACACCTTTACAGTTTGAATTTCTGGTTTGCTGGACTTGAAGACTGACCGATATGTAGGTAGCAGATGAATTGCATTATGGTCAGAGTTGGCAAGGGGAGGTTTGGCTCTGGCTGTTCCATTCCCACAAACTTGTTTACGTTTATCATTATTTATATTATGCAACAGTTTCTGAAATGGCAGGACTCAGGAGAACATGTACATTGATCAGCCACAACATTAAAATCGCTCACAGGTAAAGTGAATAACATCGATTATACTTAAATTACAATGGCCCCTCTCAAGGGGTGGGATATACTAGGCAACTAGTGAACAGTCAGTTCTTGAATTTTATTTCATGTTTTCACACTTGCATGCTGTCTGAGGAGAGGGCTCTGAGATCAGAATTTGGCTCAAACCCAGAGCACTCCTCCCCTATCCCTCGCTGGGATAGGAATAATCGAGAGTGAGAAGTTGGGGTGGTGGAGGGATGCTGGAAAAACTTTTTTGGAACAGAGGTAAGTTGGCTCTATATACAAGTCAACTTAATAAAACAATTTCACAAGTCCACACTTAACATATAATTAAATATAGTAGTAAATATGCATATTTTGTAAGCTGTCCGAGGAGGCTCTGAGTTTGGAATTTGGCCTGAACCCAGAGCACTCCCCCCAAAAAAGCAAATAAGCGCGGGACAGCTGCTGCGAGTTGAGCTTGGCAGCTCAACCGGGAGGGGTCACTTGGTGTCCGGCGGGAGCCTGTGGCTCACAGCATAACTTGGGTAAGTCCCTCTTGCGGGTGAATGAGACGTACACGATTCCAACCAGGAGCAGCTCACAGCATCAGATGGGCAAGCCCTGCTGACCAGGCAAGCGGAAGTGCAAGTGGTTACAATCAAGCTTCAACACGAGCTTCTCAAAAGTGTGAAGAACTATCTGCGATCGACAATGGCTATATTTATATGCAACCAAATAATCCATAAAGTCTTCATATAAACACCTTAATCGATCCGATTGAGCTTGTTCTGAATGAAATTTCGACAGGATTGAAAGGAGTGGTTTATTCCTTTTTCTAATCTGATCGAGTGGACATGTAAACACTTGATCGGATTGAAAACTGAAACTGAAAAGACTGCGCATGTGCAATGACATACAAATAGCGTAATGACGTATGACACGCGGAACGAGCTGTTCTTCCTGTTGAATAAAGTGTCACATGAGTCAAATGAGTGTCCCGTCATTGTAAAATTCTCCTTTCACTTCTGTCGCAAATTAGATTACTACAAGATAATTGAAGAGTTTGCAGCAGCCAAAGCAAGAAAGGTCCTCTTTTAAATGGTGAGTCGATTGTATTAATTCATTACACCTGTCTTAAGTCAACAGTAGGGGTCGATATGTGATAAAGAGCACTGTATTGTCTTACTTTGACCCTGTGTTCGGTCCCCTTAATGGCAATAGTGTTCCCTGATGGCAGTGGCCTCTTCCAGCAGGAAAATGCATCCTCTTTTTAAAATAGGGAAATTAGTTTGTCTGTAATGCTCAGTCAAATAGTAAAAACAACATGAAAAGGATCGTGATAAAATCATGAATCATGATTTTCCGTAAAAAAATCGTGATATGATATTTTTGCCATATTGCCCACCCCCAGGGGCGGACATCCCTATTGGGCAAAAGTCGGCAATTGCCTTGGGCTCCGAGCTACCTAGGGGCCTGCATTAATTTATGGTTACGTTTTTTTTTTGTTTTTTGTTTTACTTGTCACAAATTATATATTTCTAAAACTCCATTTGCTAAAATGGCATCACAATGCTTAAATCTTTATTTTTGCAGACAGGAGGGGGCCCCCCACACTACATTGGACTATTCCATTATCTCACTTACTGCGTATCTACGAAAGTGTCAAGTGATTGACAAGGCTAGTGATTGACAAAAAAAAAAAACTGAAGGAGACGAAGTGATTGACAGACAGCGTACAGAGTAGAAAGCAAAAATAAAGCGAAACTACCCAAGTGTTGCTGAAAAAAAGGAGGAAGCAGGAGAAAGCAAAAGGTTTTTAGCAAATTTGCCAAAGGTAGCATACTTTTTTGTGATGCCCGCTGTTGCTGACGCTAATGTGGCTAGCTTCTGACCCACCTCCAGTGATAAAAAGTTTCCTGTGTGAAGCCTATGGCTCTCTGGCTTTTTTCAA